CAAGAATATCGCCAGAAAGAAGAACAAAATCAACAATACCTTCAACAACAAAAGCAAGGGAACTCTTCCCAAAACTCTTCGGGATTCATGGCATGGTTGGAAAACCTTTTTTCTCCTTTGACGTCTTCTGCTCAGTTCAATTCTTCTGCGTTCTTTGCATCTGCCTCTTCTTCACGTTTAGCTTCCCAAAGTCCGAATCCCATGGCAGATCTTTCTCTCGCTAAGCTCCAAGAACAAAGCTCTACAAAGAGTCGACATTCTCTTTTCGAATTGCCTCAGCAACGAGAAGAGAAGAAAACTTTTCCTAAGGTCAAAGAAGGTCCTCCTCTTGAGCTTCATTTCCATGTGGAAGGCTATATTGGTGATGAAGAAAAACTTTCGCGTGTGCTTTTGCAAAAACTAGAAGAATATGTCGGAAAACGTGGTCTTGCTCATTTGCGAGGATCTTACTGATGCCCTTGTTTCCTGATGTCTATCTACGTTTCCGACGTGACTGGGAACGACTTGATGATGAATGTGTTCTGCAACAGAGCGTCTTGATTGAAGATCTTGTCTCGCCTCATGATTTGGGAATTCGTCAGAGTTCCCTTGAACTCAATGTGCGTCTTCATCGTGAACTTCTTTCTCGATTTTTAGAGGCTCCTCAAGTTCTTGAATTGGCACTCTATCATCGAGGAAAAGCTCTTTTTTTGGGCCTTTTGGAAAATGTTTTTTCTTCTCGTGAGGTCTGTCTTGAGGATATCCGTTATGAGGCGTTACGGGTACGTTTTTTTGTCTATAGTGCACTTCGTTGGTTTGATTTTTCTCCGCGGACTGCTTTTAATCCTTATCAGGACCTCTCTACCATCGGACCTTTAGCGATTTGTTGGCCAGAAGAACCTTCAAAGAGTCTTCTTCATCGTCTGTGGTCCTTTTTGGAAGTCCCTTATCCTCTGGATCCTCGTCTGCGGATCATGGAAAAGAGCTTTAGTTTTGTTCTGATGCCTTCACAGAACGTCCTCGAGGAACTGCAAAAGCTTTTCTGGAGCCTCGGACGAGCGATCTTCATCGATGAATATGGAATATTCCGTAGTCTTGAGCTGCGTCTTGGAAGTTTGCCTCAGGATGAAGAGCTTCCTCTAGAAAACGTGGCGTGGAATATCGAATGGGATAAAATTCGTCGCGAATTTACTGATCTTGAAGTTGAATATGCTTCTGTGGCGTATGCGCCTACAGAAATTCTTCGTTCGCGTAAGCGTGCTGTGCATTCACAGAGCGGTATCGGACTCGATTCCGAAGGACGTCCTGTCGCTTTGGTTAGTATCCTTGGCGAAACGTATTATCCTCCTTTGTCAGCACATAGCCAGACGTGGTTTAAGCCTCGATTGGACTTTATTGAAGATCCATATATTGTTCGTGTGCGAAGTCAAGGACTTCTCGCCAGTAGTGATACGCTCGAAGAAGATAAAAGCCTTGTCGCTTTATGGAACCCTTCCATTGATTGGATCGAACGTGAAGATCCCCAATACGAAGCAGGACTCGAATGCCGCTATGTTGCCGTCGAAGGCAACCAGCTTGCGGTCAGCTTCTATAATCATATCAAGCGTAACGAGGACTTCCTTCAAGATAGTAGCATTCGTGATCTGATGGCTTTTGAAGTCTATAGTGATGTGCTTTTTCGTGAACGACGTCATCTTCTTTCCACGCTTGAGGTTCATCCCGAGGACTCTCTTGGTCAACGTCCAACGCATCGCTCTCAGCGTTTTTTTCTTGACTATGTCAATGATCCGACAAGTGCGCAGCGGTTTTTTCAGCTTCATATGAATTTGATCCGTCATGGTCACTTGGTTCTTCGGTTCAGCTCTTCGCAGAATTGGTCTCTTGGTCATTTTATTCGACTTCATTCTGCAGGTCAGGATCTTCGACTTTTTATTATCCAGAAACGCTCGATACTCGATTCGTGGAATATCGATTATATCGGACTCTGTGATTATGCTCAGAAAGACTATGTCTTCGAGGAACGTGAAGAATTTGTGCTTGGTTTTTCAGGTCTCGGACGTGGACTTCTTCAGTTGAGTAATTTTTATGATGCTCAGCTGAGCAATTTTTATACGTATTATCTTAATGACGAGAATCTTCTTCATCATTTTTCCATCCAAATGGCTGTACAGAACATGCATGCGGAATTTTGGCATTCAATTTTTTTTGTTGGACCACTTTCTTTTCCTACGGCTGTCTATGGTTTCGAAGGAGCAAGTCTCCGCTATCGTTTTTTGAGTCCTCCGACGCTGAGACAAGGATCTTCCATCACACTCACTCCGAGAAGAGGCTGCTTTGTGCGCAGCGATCACACAGGAACTCTCATCGAGGCCGCACGTGGGGCGGATTCTGCATTTAAATTTGTCTAAGTTCTCTCTATGAAGAGAAAAAAGGAGCCTCGCCATGTCTTCGTTATTGAAAACAGAAAAACCTTCTTCACAGGAAGATCCTGTTCTGATTGCCCTGCGAGAACGTCTTGCGGAACATCAGAAAAAAACAAAAATCATGCGACCAGAACTCTTTGAAAAGATCCTGACAAAGATCTCTTCACGACCATGGCGTGTTTTACTCCGTTCGTCGACGTGGCTTGAAAGTCGTTATGATGAACTCCTTGAAGGAGAATTAGTGATTCTCCGTGATCGTGCAAGGCTTGTCGTGGGTACAGGACAGCGATTGATGAATTGTCCTTATATACGGCTTCCGTTGAGTGCCTTTTCGTTTTCTCAAGAAAAAAGTCCAGAACAGTTGCGACTTGATTTAGCACTCTATATCTGGGAATGTCTGCTGCGAACAATGGCTTTAAGCGAAAAACGTGATCTGCATATAGACGCGCAGCTCTATGATATTTTTAAGCAAAAGAGACCCAAGGAATTTAGTTTTCTCGAAGGAGAACAGCTTGATCTTATCGATGGGAGTTTGGCGTCCTTCATGCCGTTAGGGAAATCGGTCGATTTTCGTGGACGCTTTTCTCGGGCTTATGGACCTTCAAAGGGTTCAGCGCCGCAAGTTTGTGGATTGCAAAATGATACGCTTCGAGATCATCGGCATCGCACACATCGGCATAACGGAATGCGTAAAGCAGGCTTGAATTCAAGTGGTCCTCATGCGCTGCATCTCTCATGGAACATCACGGTTCCATCAGCGCTCAGCGGTGGATCAGAGACCCGTCCACGGAATTGCTATGTTGTTTCCGTATGGAGGATCGCCTAAAAGAGGATCGCCTCAAATAAGGAGAAGTCAGAATGGATGATGAGAACAACAATCTTGATCGCAAACTCGAAGAGGAACTTTGGGAAAACTATCTACAGCTAGAAAAAGCCGAAGAGCTCGAAGAAGAACTCTCTTCGGCACAGTGGGAAAAACTCTTGGAGTCCTTTGCTCAGAGTGGTCCTCGAGTGCATGTCTTGAGTGGAACACTCGATGATTTTTGTGCCTATGAGGAACAAACAGTGTCCACACCATACGCTTTTCGTCTCGGAGAACTGGCTTTCTTCAAGGAACGACGAAGCTTGCATTTTGTTGATCCAAGCATGAGTCCTCAAACGTGGCCTTTACTCGCACAGCTGGAGTCAGACGAAAGCGATCATCTGATGGCGATGGATCCTGTTGGACGTATCTGGAGTGACCTTGAAGCTCAGATGATTCTTGGTGAGAAACGTGAATTATTAATTCCTCCCTTGCTCTACGAGGACTTCCTTTTGCGACGATCTGCTCATTTTAGTCTCCTTGAAGGCGAAGAGCTCCCTTCTGGATCAATTTGGCGACGTTACGATCAGAGAGCTCCTGATGCACGAGGAAGATTTTTCCGTCAAAAGCATGCTCCTGAGGCGAATGGTTCTCTAAGCGGGCTTCCAGGGTCGATAGAGGAAGAGTGTATTCCGGCACATAGCCATGACTATTTACTCCCTGTCAGTACTCATCTTAATGGAGATTGGTGGATGAATTCCAAAAATGTCTTACTCTCTTCCTCTCTGACACTGGAGAGTACTTCAGGGATTGAAGGACTTCCGAGTCATGATAAGGCTGAAACACGACCCAGCTGTGTGAGTGTTGTTGTTGTCTGGAGAGTCCGTTAAAAAGGAGGTCGTATGAAAAAACGAACACGCAAAATCACAGAGCCCACAAGGGAAGAAAAAATACGTCAAACTTGGCTCGACCACATCAAGCAAGATTCCCGTGCGCGCCGGATGTCCCCAAGAGGGGACTCCCTTGATGTAACGGCGGTGATCCATGCACTCTTTGCCGAAGGACTGCGTTGGCAGATCGAGAGTGTTGATGGGGAAGAAGATTTGTCGGATCTTGTATTGGCTCCTGGAGAGCTTGTCTATGACAGATACCATCAAAAGGCCTTCCTTGGAGATGGTCTGAGTCCACGAAGGAATCTTCGTCCTCTTGGAGCTCTTGGGCAGGATTTTCATTGGGAAGAACTCTCTGCCTCAGAGATCGCCCAAAAACTCTGGGAGCTTTTGCGACAGACGATGAGCATTGGGGAAAAACGGGAATTGATCCTGCGTGGAGCTGTTTATCAAGAATTTTGTCATTCACGTTTACGTGATCCGGATTTTTCGTTTTTCGAAGGAGAAGCTCTCGCTGAGGACTCGGTTCTTTATGCTCTGGGTCTTCGGCACGCACCTTCTAATGCGGGAGGTTTCTTTCGCACGATCGGGAAGCAACGTGGATTGAGTCCTGTTATTGAGCCGTGGATGATGCGTGCGCATCAACATTCTGTCCATTTTCCCGTGATGGATCCCGGTGCTCGCATGACTTCAGGGAAGGTGCATACGTTATGGGCGAGTTCAACGGGTCATCAGACTCGGCAAACGGTTGCGGAAAACTATTTTTCCCACGAGCTGAGGCCACGAAGTATTTGTGTTTTATGCATTTATCGTACTAAATAGTCCTCGCTCTAAGGCTTGAAATATGATCAGCGTGCCTATAAAGTGTAAAAATGAGGCACAAAAGGACAATAGTGGAGGACGCTCATGAACGTCAGACTGATTTCAAAAACAGAAGTTTCACAAGAACACCTACGTGCACTTGCCGATGAATCGGCAAGTGCTGAGTTTCTTGCTGTGCTCCAAGAACCTGAGGCCTTGATGATCTATATTGCACGTGTGTCAGCTCCTGCGTCGCAGCAGAAGCTTGAATTTCGCGGTCTGCTTGAATACTGCTATCAACATGGACACTGGTCCGTATTTGAAATGATCGATGCCACGCTTGAAATACAAACAAGCCGAGCGATTGCCCAACAGATCCTCCGGCATCGAAGTTTTGTCTTTCAGGAATTCTCTCAACGCTATGCTGAAGCACGTCTTGGATTCGAGGAAGTCCAAGCTCGCCGACAGGATCTGAAAAATCGTCAGAACAGTATCGATGACATGTCGCAGCAAGATCAGGACTGGTTTCAAGAGGCTCAAAAAGAGGTCTCACAGCGTGCATTAGTTCTCTATGACGAAGCACGCAGACGTGGAATCGCCAAAGAACAGGCACGTTTTCTGCTTCCGCTTTCCACGCGCACACGTCTTTATATGAAAGGGAGTCTGCGTCAATGGATCCACTACGTGAATTTGCGAGCGGCTGATGGAACACAAAAAGAACATCAAGAAATCGCTATAGCTGCACGGCATGTCTTGGCGATGGAGTTTCCTCTTTTGGCCTCAGTGCTCGGCTGGGACTAAAAGCCGATGCTTGTTGAAAATTTCAAGAGATTTCCCCAAAACCTTGACTTGTCTTGTCTTCTAAGAGTACCATGGTTTCATTACTGTGTTTTTGAGCCTACGGGCCCTTGGAGGGATAAATGAAAAGATTGTCTTTTCTCATGATTCTTGTCGTTGTTTCGTTTTTTGCATGCGGAACGTCAAAAAAAGATGCACAATCTGAAGCATCAATGGGTGCTCCTCATCGTGGAAACGCTCTCTTGAGTTCTGCAGAGTGGGTAACAACACGTGTCTATGACGCTGTAGGAAATGACCTCACAGCTAATTATCAACAATTCGTCGGACTCGCTCATTACGGAACTGACCAAACATACGAATTTTTTGACCTCGACGGAAATCCTCGTGGCGACCAAGGATACTTCTTCGTTCTTCCTGATATGACCAAGCGTATTCTTGTTTCACTCACACGCAATTATACACGTATTGTTGATATCACCGAATTGACACCCGATGTCTTTACATATCGTGTCACTGTTGATAACCAAGAAGTCTTCGTTGAGCATATCCCCGTTGGAGCCGCTCCGTTGGAGCCTATCGAAGAGCTTGAGGAACTCAGCACTCTTGAAGGTTCCGAGAATCTTGACCTCATCGAGGAAAATCAACCCGAAGCTCCTCTTATGGCCGAATAATTTTTACTTGAAAAGCCTCCCCATCGGGGAGGCTTTTTTATTGCGTTGATCTTTTCATCCAGAAGAGAGGACTTCCATGACAAACGTTTTTTTAGGACGAAGTTTATGCGTTATCAACGACTTAAGCCTCGAAGAACGACGCTGGCTTTTCGATGAAACTCGTCGACTTGCCGAAGCCTTTAAAAATAACAATCAAGAAGATCTTCAACGTTATGTTTTCACACAAACGGATACCAAAGTTTATGATGTTTTCCTCGAGAGTAGTACACGAACGCAACAGTCCTTTCGTAACGCCGCCATCTTCTGTCAACTCAATCCACTCAGCCTCGGTGCTGATTCAGCCTTTTACGGTAAAGGAGAAAGCCTCCTCGATACCTTCAAAACCTTGGTGGCGTACGGAAATCACCTCTTTATCGTGCGAAGCCCTCAAGAAGGTCTTTGCCGCTTCCTCAGCGAGGAACTGAGTGCAAGCCTCGAACGACTCGGAATCAATGGGTCCATCTCGCTGATTAATGCCGGAGACGGTAAACACGAACACCCTACTCAGGAACTCCTCGACGAATACAGCTTCTGGGAACAAAATCACTTCTCTTACGAAAATCTCCATATCGCGCTCGTTGGAGATCTCTTCCATGGTCGTACAGTCCATTCTAAGGCTCAAGGACTGAAAATTTTCCAAAAGGTGCGCGTTGATCTTGTTGCACCAGAATTGCTGGCATTGCCCGATGAATATGTGCGCCAAATGCAGGAAAATGGCTATTCTTTGCGATTCTTCTCTAGCCTGCAGGACTATATCAAAGCAGGCGATTTGGCTTCTGCGTGGTACTTTACACGTCCACAACTCGAGCGAATGGGCGAGGATATCCGCCTTGCAGCCTCTTCGCTCCGAGAGTCCATCACACTCACAGAGAGTCTCCTCGATGAGATTCCCTCAACGTGTCGCTTCTATCATCCCTTGCCACGACATAAAGAACATCCTGTCATTCCGCGATTTGTCGATAGAACACCTTATAACGCTTGGGAAAGACAGGTTCGTAACGGCTACTATGTGCGTATCGTGCTTCTCTCGGCTCTGGGAGGAAAATTGCCAACACCAGGACTCCCAGAGTATTCCGTTCCTGCACAAAATGAGGAAAACTTTATCGATGAAGTTTTCCTCTCGAAGCGGCGAAAACAAAAACCTCTCGTCTCCGGAGTCCTTCCCATTGAGGATGGTTTTGTCATTGATCATATCAGTCAAGGAAAAACTCACGAAGAGATCCGACGTCATATGAATCGGCTCATCGAAGCCCTCGATCTCCATGGCCTGGGCGGAGAGTGGATCGCCCAGGGAACGCGTGGCCTTAAGGGACTGATTTTTCGTCCACAGACGAGACTCTTTGAAGGACTCATCAAAAAACTTGCAGCCTTAGCTCCAGGAGTCACGTTGAATGATATCCGTCAAGGAACGATCTACAAAAAATATCGCCTGAGCCTTCCTCCACGTATTTATGGTTTCAAAGAAGCCCGGTGTCCGAATCCTGATTGTATCTCGCATCCGAGTGCCTTTGAAACTCTCGAGGGACACTTCCATCGCTGTGGCCAAGAGCGTTATGCTTGTCACTACTGTGACCGTCAGCATCACTATAGAGAAATCTGGCCCCAGTAAAAAGCCTCCTCGGAGTGTTTATCCCGACAAAAAAGGAAATGCCTGCTATGCAAGATGATGATATTCTCCAAGGACGTCAATTGGTTCTCACAGCGCTCTCTTTAGGATCACTGCGCTTTAACCTCGAAGAAGGATTTCAATGGTCAAGTGGACTCCGTAGTCCGATTTACAACGATAACCGTTTGTTCCTTCGAAAGTCCTCGTATCGAAAGGCGATACTGCGTGGACTGCAACAAAGCTTTCAACCCGAATCCTGCGATATCATCGCAGCGGTGGCTACCGCAGGAATACCTTATGCAACGAGTTTAGCAGATCAACTTGAGTATCCCTTAATCTATGTGCGGCCTGCTTCAAAAGATCATGGACTGCGTAAAATCGTCGAGGGACTTGATCCTAAAGAGCTGTTTTCCAAACGCATCGTGCTCATCGAAGACCTCATTTCAACAGGAAAGTCTGTACTACGTATCGCGCAACTCTTGCGAGATTTTGGTGCCGAAGTGCGTGTACGTTCGCTCTTTGCTTATGATTTTCCCTCAGCGACGCAAGCATTTGCGGAAGCTCAACTTGAAGTAGAGTCTTTAGCTCATTATGACGATTTACTCGCTGTTCTCCAGGAAGATCCTTCCTGGAAGCCGAGCGATGTCGAGCAACTCATTGAGTGGAAAAAAGATCCAACACTTTTTGCTCAACGCCATTGGGGGGAAAAATGAATTACGTTCAAAAACTCAGAGAAGGAGCCCAAAAAGTGGGCAATATCGCCTGTATCGGCCTTGATCCCGTGCTTTCCCATATGCCTTTTGAAACAAAAGATCCGCCGAGCCGTCTGAGAAGCTTCTTTGCAGAATTCTTTGCCGTTCTTGCGAATGCTTCGGCTGCTCCCGCTGCCTTCAAGATCAATATCGGCTATTGGACCGTGCTGAATCAGCCCGCAGAAGGTCGATATGACGGCGATCGTGTGCTTTTCGATGTGATTCATTTGATCAGGAAAAATTTTCCTCATAGCCAGCTGATCTTCGACGGAAAACGTGGCGATATCGCACGAAGCTCGTGGAATTATGCCCAAGAAGCTTTTGAGCTCTATGGAGCCGATGCTGCCACTGGAAGTCCTTATATGGGTTCAGATAGTGTCCATAGTTTGGAATCCGAAAAAAAAGGACTCTATCTCATCTTGCGTACATCTAATCCAGCGGCAACCTTTGTGCAGTCCCAGGAACTCGCTTCAGGCGATATGCTCTGGCAAAAACTTGCCGAATTCTTTCTTTCCTGGCGCTCATTTCGAGGAAGCCTCGGCGCCGTGATGGGAGCTTCATACAAAGAGGATCTCGCCTGGGCCTTCCGATTCTTCGCCTCAGAGGACTTCCCTTTGCTTATCCCCGGAGTCGGCGCACAAGGAGCCTCTCCTGAAGATGTGCTGAGTGTGCTTCGCCAAACCGTCTATCCTCCTGAACTCGTGCGGATCAATAGCTCTTCAGGAATTACACATCCGTGGAAAAGTAATCAGGCACCCACACTTTGGCGTGAGTCTTGCCATAACGCGATCGAAAACTTCCTGCGTGAATGCGAACTGTGAATATCTTTTCGTCCGCAAGAACTCAAAAACGACTCCTCCTGACAAATGCCTCGGGTATTCTCGCTACGACGGCTTCCATCATGCAGACGGCTCTTGAGTCTTGGGACTTCGACCTCGTGACTTCTAAGAGTATCGAGCTACTCCCTAATCCCGGATATCGTGAACCTGTGCTTACCCAGCTTTCCAAAACAAGTTTCCTCAATGCTGTGGGACTTCGTAATCCTGGCATTGAGGAATTCCTTGAAAGTATGCAAGCGCTCATTGCCTCAGGACTCTCTTCGCGTGTCATTGTTTCCCTCTCTGCACGGAGCTGCGAGGATCTTCGCCAAATGCTCGAAACCTTGAGTCCGTTCTTTTCTCTTTTCGAACTCAACCTCTCGTGTCCTCATGCCAAAGAGGGTTATGGTGCTCATATCGGTAGTCGTCCTGAATTAACCGCTTCTTTTCTTCTTCCGCTGCGTTCGCTTCTTCGAGAACTTTGTGTCCTTGTCAAGCTCAGCCCGCTCGCAGAGCCTCTTCTTGATGTTGCAGCGGAGGCTCTGCGAGCGGGCGCCTCAGGCTTTTCGCTCTTCAATACGGCAGGACCCTATCCGAGTTTTCATCCTGCTTCTGCTCAGCCGATACTTTCCAACGGAGTCGGAGGACTCTCAGGGAGTCCACTTTTCCCCATGACGAGAGAAGCCCTGCGAAGTCTGCGAGAATACTTTGGTCCGCAGCCCTGGATCGTCGCCATGGGTGGAGTCCGTACAGCCCAACAGATCGCCGAACTCCAAAAACTCGGCGCGGATGCCGTTGCCTTGGGATCCGTCTTTGCAGATCTTCAGCCGCAAGACTATGAGTCCTTTATCCCTCGTCTTCGAACGGAACTCCATGATCCTTCCCGCCAGAAAAAGTCTTTGCCTTCAGCACGTTTGCAGATGGACTTTGTTCCTTGGCATGTCGCGTCTGTCGAGAAACTCGAAGACTCGCTCTACCATCTCATCTTTGAAGAGGCGAGACCAGATTTTCTTCCTGGACAGCTGTTCTTTTTTTGGCTTCCAGGACTTGCGGAAAAACCTTATTCCTTGGCCATGCTCGAACCAGCGAGTCTTTTGATTCGTGTGCGTGGACCCTTTTCAAGGGCTTTATCTGAGTTGAAAAAAGGTCAAATCCTTTGGAGTCGTGGACCATATGGTCAGGCTGCACCACTTCCGAGTCAATGTCGTTCGGCTCTAATTCTTTGTGGTGGAAGTGGATTGGCACTCTCGTGGTCCTTGAGCCAATATCTTCTTCGAGAGGGACTTCGTACACGTCTTCTCTTTGCCTCTAGCGGGACAAATCGTGAGCTTTTTGCGGAAAGTTTCCCTTCGGAAATAACATACCGTGTGATTTGTGATGAAGGCAGAGAGGGACGCTGCCTTGATGTGCTTGCTGCGGAAGATGCTGCGGATCGTGCCAAAGAAGCTCTTTATGTCATCGGTCCAAAGCCTTTTATGGAGCGCGCCGCAGCCCTATGGAAAGATTCCGGATCACCAGATATCTTCCTTTCCCTCGAGGAAACCATGCTTTGTGGAATCGGTTTATGCGGACTCTGTTCGCATAAAAATACGCTGACGTGTAAGAGCGGGAGCTTTGTCCGCTGGGATTAAAAAACGAGCGTATCATCTCCAAGGTCATTTTGCACAGCAGCGACACGGTACGAGGTCAGTTCGAGTTCCTGGGCAGCCGTCTGCTGTGAAGCAGGATCAATATATTTGTCCATATAAGGAAGAGGGTTCTCACGACTATAGTCAAAATCGAGTCGAATCTCAAGGATTTCGTAGAGTGGTCCTGCTAGATAAAGCACATAATCGACGAGGAGCTTTTCATTGAGTCCTAGGATTTTGCGTCCTTGACTAAAGATATATCGGCTCCACGCGCGTTCTTGTTGGATCACCTCATCGAAGAGTTTTTTCATTTCATTCTTGGACTCTTCATAGGCTTCTGGCCATTCTTGGCGTAAGATCTGTAAGATATCAACATTCATTCGGGTATGGAGAATTTCGTCCTTGCAGACAGCTTTGACGATATTACCGATTCCTGCGAATTTTCCTGTTTCTGTGAGCGCAAAGGTGCAGGCAAATGATGCGATAAATCCAATGGCTTCTAGGGCTAAGAGTGCAGCAATCGTGAGGATGATTCCGTGTTGTTTTTCTTCTTGCGTGTAGTTTTCGGGAGCCGCCGCTATCGAGAGCATCCTGTCGAAGGTCTTTGTGATGATCTCTGAGCGTGCAAAGACTCCGTGGTCTTCTTTGGCTTCTTCCATGAGTTTCTGAGGATCTTCAAAGGCTTGGCGTACAATGTGGGCATAGGCGCGTCCGTGGATCACTTCGAACATTCCCCAGACGGTAGCGAGGTTGAGCATTTCTGAATTACTAATAAAAGGTCCGAGAGTTTCAATAATAGAACGTGAAACAATACTATCCGCAAGCCATTGCCACATGATGGTCTTGATCATGATATCGCGTGAATCTTTATCCACTTCGAGCATATCGCGACGATCCTGATCGAGGAAATATTCCTTTTCATTCCAGAGTTGTGCAATCTGGAGCTGGTAGAGCTCTTCGAGTTGAGGATAGCTCACATTGATGGTGTCCATAAAACCGAGGTCTTCAGCGAGAAAAAGTGGGTAACGTCCGAGGAGGTTGTTGTTATTTTTGGTATTAAAAACAGTGATCATACGTTTTCCTTAGGGGGTTTTTGGCTTTCATAGAGTTGTTGCACGGTACCTCCCGTGCTGACTTCAGAATTAAAATAGTATTGCGTCTTAACTCCTATCTTTGCGCTAAAAAGCCAGTCTGTCAAGATTTCGCGTAAAGAAGGATCCGATTTGTGATAATAGTCCCAATAGAGATCCGCTGAGATCGCTTGTCCGCTGAACTTTTGGATGATTCCATAGACCTTGAGGAGATCTTTGTTATCAATGCTCCACGCACTTTGATAATGGTCCTTGAGACTGTCGTACTCGGGAACAATAAAGAGCACATTGCCTTTTCTTGAAGTCTTATAGATCTGATGCTTGCGGATCGGATAAACGCCGTTGGTCGAATCGCTCATCAGCGAACTGCTTTCACAAGGCATGTGGGCCTCAAGGACCGAAAAACGTGAACCATCTTGACGCAGTTCCGCGCTGAGTGCTTCCCAGTCGTAGCGGAGCTCTGCCGTATGAAATTCGTCAATAGCACGGTTATAGCTTTGAAGAGGAGTCCATCCTTGATTGTAGCGGGAATTCTCTACACGACCGCGTTCCCTTGAAAGTCGTAGAGAAGCTTTGTGAAGAAAATATGAATGACGTTCGGCGATCCGGTGGATCTCATCGCGACCTTCTGCTGATGAATAGCGCAGGTGCTTGCGTGCCATATGATGAGCAAGATCAGTGATCCCGATACCGATTGAGCGGCGTTTCTTCGCGCTTTTGGCCATGCTCGCAAAAGGGTAGTCCATGAGGTCCATGACGTTATCAAGGGCACGACAGAGGATGTAGGCAATTTTTTCATAATCTTCATCTTCCTCGAGCCGTGTCACAACAAGGGCTCCAAGGAAGCACAGAGCAATTTCTCCTTTGCCTTCTTGATGACCATAAAGCTCGTCCATGTTCTCGTAGGGCGCCGTAGGAAGGGCAATCTCTTGACATAGGTTCGAAATGCGGATCGTTTCATAAAATGGAGTGTGTTGGTTGAGTTCCTCGACGTTGCAGAGATAGACGCGTCCTGTCTCGATACGCATCTGTAGCGCTAAGGTAGCCAGTTCGCGCGCCTTGATGAAGGTCTTGGGAATGCTCTGATCATTGGCTACTCGAGCGTATTCTTCACGCCAGGCATCAGGAGAACTTCCATAGAAGAGTTCGTGCAGCACGGGAGCATAGTAACGACTCACCAACATCCAGTCATTCCCCTGGGCTACTGCTTCAAGAAAGAGCCGATTAAAGAGTAGGGAGTAGTCCATGAAAGGAAGTCGCTTCTGTTCAGGCGTTCTCTGCGACTTGAGCCGCAAAAGCATGTCAATTTCAGGATCAATACATTTAAAGCTGACGGTGGCACTTCCTCCACGACTGACTTGTGTATTGGCCTTGATGGCCATGTCCACGAGCTTGTAATAGGGGAGTTTTCCCGCGTGCTGACAAGTTCCACGGCGTACAGGATCTTTGATTGAACGGGTATCCATCTCAATTCCGATTCCTGCCTTACGGGCCGTCATCTTGTAGGCAACGTGTTCAGCGACTCCTATTGAATCCACTGTATCGCCTCCCGTAATAACGCAACACGAGGCAAAACCATTGTCTCCACTTCGCGCTCCATTGAGTATCGGCGTCGGAAGATTGATCTTTTGTAGACTAAGAGCGTCATAGAAGTCTTTGATAAAGTCGAGACGTACCAAAGGGTCTTCTTCCTTGAAGAGATAAAGAGCTATCCCCATAAAAGCTATCTGTGGTGTTTCGTAGATCCGGTCTTGCGTGATATCGCGTAGCGCATATTTGTCGATAAATTGTCGCAAAGTCGAATAGCTGAGAATAAAATCACGTTCGTTGTCGATGATTCCTTCAAGTTTGTTCAGTTCCTCGGGACTATAGGGCATCTGAGCCCAAACCTTGTCTTTGATGAGTTTTTCATAGATTCCGCTAAAGCGTGGAACTTCAATATGACCAAAGACATCCTTGCGGATATCCCCAATGAGGAGCCTGGCTGCCATTTTAAGATGCCCAGTGTCACGCTTCTCGACACAGACTTCAATCAGTGAGCGCTGCAGTTCAGCCGTTGACATCCCCTCATATCCTCGGGCTGCTGCACTGATCACCACATCACTCCAATGGATCCCTGTGTTCTCTGCCGCCCATTCCCCCCAGTTATTGAGTTTAGTGGGATCAAACGTTACAAGACGGCCGTCTCGTTTTCTCACGTGTTTTAGCATCCATCTGCTCCTTTCTTTCTTCTCGAAGAGTGGTTTTTACTCTATCGTGAAGACTTTTCTCTATTCAATACACGGCATTGATCCCTTAAGGCTTTCCGTCAAGAACATACCTTCCTATAGCTTCCTGATGCTTTTGATTGCACTCGTTTGCGTCAAGCTCTTCCCAAAAAGATAGAAAATTTTTATCCTTCTTCCATAGAGGAACTTTCTTTATGGACTCAAAGATAATCACTCAACATTATATCATCACGGGCTTGGTGCAGATGGTCGGTTATCGTTACTTCGTCTGGCGCCTTTCTGTGCGACTCGGATTCGTCGGCTGGGTGCGAAATCTTCCTGATGGTTCCGTCGAGGCCACTATTAGCGCTCCCGCTGCACTCCATGAGGAAATCCTCCTTGAGCTGCATCGTGGACCTGCTTCCGCACGTGTCGAGGGAATCAATGTGAGTCCGCTTGAGACACAGAATTTTTCCATCTTTGAAATCCTTCATTAAGCACGATCAAAAAGCGCTCGATCAAGTTTCCAAATGCGTAGGACATTCCCTCCCACTAAGGCTTCAAGGGCTTTGCGTCCCATCCCCGCTTCTTCGAGAAACTCAATGGCGTTCCCCCAAAGCTCAAGGGAGGGCATGCCCGCCGCACCTGCTTCTTTATCCTCAAGGCTGTGCGGAGCATGATCACTCTCGAGACAATCAAGCACTCCAGATAGTACGCCTTCTCGGAGCGCTTCTTGGTCAGTGCTATCACGCAGCGGAGGATTCACTCGATACCGCTGTCCTTGAGGTCCTTGGCTGTAGGTCGCGTTGAGCATTAAATGATGTGGCGTGATTCCCGCGCTCAGCGGCCGGAGTGTCTTTTTCGCTTCTTTGATCAGGGACACTCCGGCCGCTGAACTAATGTGGCAAAAATGAAGATGTCCAGCAAAGCCGTGCTTGGATGCGAGCTGAAGCTGATCAAGAATGGACGCGGCTTCAGCGAGTGCATTGCGGTAGCGATGATAGTTTTGAGGACTTCCCCGATAAAGAGGATCAAAAAAGCATTCTTTTTCGGCATGTATCGCTAAGACACCACGGTAGTCAGCTTCGGCGAGCCGTTGATAGAGTGCTTCTTGCGTTGAAAAATCAATCAGCCCAAGACCTCCTGTGCTATGGGCTGCATAGAGCTTGAGTCCTACAACGCGTGGAGCATATTGCACAGCCAGCTTGATCATGCGGTCCTGTTGTAGCGGATCAGCCGTCAGACCAAGATAAATACCGTGGAAAAGCTTCCCAGCAAAAATTTTATCCGCATCAGCAAGACGTCGAGTCAGCGTCTCTTCCGAAGTAATGGGAGGAGACGTATTCGGCATTTCAAAAACTCCTCTCAGACCAAGAGAAAGGGCTAGTTCCAGCGTATCTTCAAAACGTGCTTTTGAAGATTCTTCCCAATCGCGTAGGTGAACATGAGGATCAATCATGAGCATCGTCTTTGTCCTTTACTTTTTTCTTGTTGATGATGACTTTTTTGTTCAAAAAAAACAGCTCCCCTCTCATCGAAGCTCTGAGGATGAGATAAATGTAAGTTATATACTTGAATGATCTTGAATCTTTGTTTATTCTGAGAAGTAAGATTGAAAAAGATCTTTCTTGTTCGAAGAACAAGAAGGGGAGATGTTTGATGAAAGAAGCTAAATTAAAAGATCTTGTACTCTATCTTGGAGGCTTGTCTAATATTGTGACGGTTGAAAATTGTATGACGCGCTTGAGACTTGAACTCAAAGATCGTTCTCTTGTGCGCCTAGAGGAACTCAAAAAACAAGCAGGAGTCCTCGGGATTGTCGAAGAAGATACTTTTCAAGTGGTTGTGGGTCCTGGACGCTCTGCTAAATGGGGCGCCGAACTCAAAGATATGCTCGCTTCTGCTGGAGCCTTTCGTCGAGAAGAAATCACTTCGTGGCAGGAAGAAAAAAAATTCGTTAAAAGTCAACAAAAAGGACGACTCAAAGCAGCTCTTCGTTTAGTGGGTGATATTTTTGTTCCCCTTATTCCGGCCATCATCGCAGCAGGTCTTCTTGGAGGTATCGCAGGATATTTTGAAAATCTCTATCTTGCCGAAGGCTTCCGACTCGCCGATGTCTCGATCATCGGACTCGATGGGATCTTTTTCCTTAGTTTCTTTAGAACCTTGAGCACGTCCTTTTTTTCTGTTCTTGCCATCTTTGTCGGAATCAATGCAGCGCGGGTGTTTGGTGCTAATATGGCTCTCGGCGGTATCTTAGGAGCTTTAACCTTGAGTCCTGATATTAAGCGTTATGCAGAAGCTTTCGGCTTGCATAATGCAGAGAGTCCGTTGCAAAGCATTCTTATCCCTGGAAAGGGAGGGGTCCTCGGAGTCATCTTTGCGGTCTTTCTCTTAGCGATTGTCGAGAGACATCTGCACAAAAGGATCCCTGATGCTCTTGATACGATCTTAACACCGACAATTGCACTCATCGTGATGGGTCTTGTGACGGTTTTTGTTCTGATGCCTCTGGCAGGCTTGCTCTCGGATGCTTTATTAGCTTTTTTGAGCTTGCTCATCGGACAAGCCGGCCTTTTAGGATTGCTGAGCGGTTTTATTTTGGCAACGCTTTTTCTGCCTTTGGTTGTGGTCGGTCTGCATCATGGTCTGATTCCCTTTTATACGATCCAGCTCGAGACAGAAGGCTCTATTGCACTCTATCCTATTCTTGCTATGGCAGGAGCTGGTCAAGTCGGCGCCGCACTCGCTTTGTGGTTGCGTTGTCCCCATGACAACGTGCTGCGTAATACGATCCGTGCTGCCTTGCCTGTGGGTATCTTAGGGATCGGTGAACCTCTTATTTATGGAGTCACTCTTCCTCGTGGAAGGGCTTTTCTGACCGCATGTCTCGGAGGAGGCTTCGGCGGAATGATCATGGTGGCTTTTTCTGTTCGTTCCATGGCTTTCGGACCTTCAGGGATTACGGCCTTGCCTATTATTGTTCCTTCGAGCATGCTCTACTACATCCTGGGACTCTTGGTGTCGTATCTTGGTGGTTTTATCTTGACTTTCCTCTGGGGCTATCAGGACTCGCATGAGCTTCACTAGAAGGGAATGGGGGATTTCTTTTTTCCCTACACAGAGCGTTTCTCTTGAGGAACTGCGTCATTACTGGTCGGAAGTCTATGCTCTGGGTGCACGTGAACTTTTTTGTTCCTTGCATATTCCCGAAGCGGACTTTTCGTTGCAGGATTTCCGTCATGCCCTCGAGTTAGCACGTCAAGTGGGCTTGAGCGTCGTTGCGGATGTTTCTTTAGCCTACAGAGAACGTGCCACTCTCTTAGAGGACTGCCTCGATGTCGTACGACTGGACTTTGGATTTAGTCGAAGCCAAGTGGAAGAGTTTTTCCAAAACTGGCCTTCTCGTGTGGCTTTTGAACTCAATATCAGCTATCTGAGCCTAGAAGAACTTCTCTATTGGAAGAAAAATGCTCCTCTGGGGCGGCTTCGTTTTAGTCATAATTATTATCCACGTCCTCAAACGGGGCTCTCTGCTTCCCAAATGAGCAGGCGTCATGCTGAATTGGATCTAGAAGGCAAATCCATTGCCGCTTTTATTCATAGTCCTCTTGATCAAACAGCTCCAAGAGCTCCGATCTTTTTGGGTCTTCCCACTCTCGAGGAACATCGTCATTGCCAGCCATTGATTGCTTCCCAGGCTTTATGGGCATTGGGTTGCAACAAGGTTTTTTTTGCTGATCCGCAAACACCACTCTCTCTTTTGCAAAAATTTGCCGCACAGCTTCGTTTTCTTGAGGAAAAGGAACAAAACTCCGATGCACGTTGTTTTCTGATTCCTCTAAGCGGTCTTGGCAAGATTCCTCCTGGCGTTCGTCAGATTTTACGTGGTCAACATAGCTTGCGTTATGATAGCCCTTTGGGACTTCATCGGAGCCTTGAAGCACGTAGTTATCTTCCTGCGGGAAGCGAAATCTCCCCAAGCTATGGGATGCAAAAACGTCAAGCTTTTTCCCTTTGTATCGATAACGCCCTCTACGGACGCTACCAGGGAGAACTCCAGATCCTGCTTGAAGATTTCGAACCTTGTTCGAAGGTCAACCTTATCGCGGACCTTTCATCGGCTGCTCCTCTGCTGCGCCTCTTGAAGGGAGGCGATTGTCTTTTCTTTGACTTCGACGAATCTTAAGGACTCATCCATAAAGCCGCAGCTCCCCAGATCCCTGCTTCATCTTTGAGTTCTGAAGCCGCAAAGCGTGTCTTTTGCAGAAGACTTGGGATCGCCCATAAACTGAGCGGTTCCTCAAGTGCGGCAAAAAGGAGATCTGCTGATGCGGCGAGTCCTCCACAAATCACCATGAGTTCAGGATTAATCATGTTAATCACGGATCCCATCAGAGGAGCTAGATGTTCCGCTTGGTAGCTAACCAGCTGGAGGGCCAGTTCGTCATGTTCTCGTGCGGCTGCATAGATCGCTTCCGTTGTCAGAGGCAGATCATTTTGATGTAGCTCATAGAGCCGTGATCGACTATGGGCTGAGTCTGTATCACGATGAAGTCGTTCCAGCCAACGCAGGGCTTCTCGCTCTAGCGCTGCCGATGAGGCATAAAGTTCAACACATCCTCGAAGTCCACACGCACACGTCAATGCGTTCGGATCGTCATAGAGAACCAAATGTCCTAGTTCCCCAGCACCTCCTGAAAAACCTGACCATATTTGTCCGTTGAGTACCAGACCGCCTCCAATTCCCGTTCCGAGAGCAATGGCGGCAAGACTACTGGCATCCTTTCCTGCCCCAAAGAGGGCTTCTCCTAAGGCGATCACATTGACGTCATTATCAAGACGGATCTCTAAGTTCCATTCTTTTTGGAGCTGTTCGACGACGTTGAGTTCTCGAGGCCACGGAAAATTAGCAAAAAAACCCACAATTCCTCGATGGCAAGGTCCAGGGATTCCCAATCCAAGCTTCCGAGGGCGTTCTTTGCCTGGAGGGACAAGTGCCTTGAGTTCGTCATTGAGCCGTTTTTTATACGCTTCCCAACCCTGATCCGAGAGTGTCGGGAAAACTTTACTTTCCAAAAGACTCTTACTTTTGAGGTCGATTAAACCAATCTTTGTTCGCGTCCCTCCAATATCAACTCCATAGACAAGATCCATAAGCAGTCCTCCTCTTTCTATTTCTCTCCTCTTATACTCCCCATTAACTGGAAGGTCAATCATTCATCACGCAAACTCTCAAAATACGGCTACGTCGAGGGAACTCATCGTCTTTGAGGAGAGAGTCTAGATATTTATTTGTATAAATATACATGATTATCTAGATATTATCAGTTTTTATGTTAAAATGAATTATCAAATTTTGATAAAAAAAGGATATCAAAAATGAAAAGTAAAAAAGTCAATGAAAATTTTACCGAAAATGTATGTCAACATTTCAATCAATATACCAGCGAAAAGACAAAAAAAGACCGTGTCTTCTTCAATAACTTAATTCCAGAAAATGATTTAACAGGAGAATTCCAAGCAGAAATATCTTACGCACAAAGCATCATCATCCCTCACCGCTATTCTCTGGAACAACATGGTCCATTCCCCACTCTCGTCTCACATAGAGATACTCTCATCATCTTGAGGCCAGTTATTCGTCTCAATGATACGGATTCTATTAAGCTCACCGTATTTGATGCAGAGGGTCATCAATTGGGTATCAAATATATGGACTCTCCTGATAAATTACCTCAGCATGATGGCCTCATTGATGATCCTATCGTTTATTCAGATCATACGTGGTCGACAGTCATTCCTGCCTATTGGGTAGAACCTCATATAAAATTAGAATTTACACATAATAAAACTCATCAAGGCTATCTCATCGTTGACAGAATAGGAGCGCCAAGTAAAGTCGTCCTCTATACCATCGATGTAGGAATGTTAACAGAGCCTAGAAATGAATTCTTCTTTGCCGATAATCCCGCCTTGCAAAAGGACTACTTTCAAAGTCTCCCTCTCAGTCAAATGATTGTTAGTCGATATGCAAGCCTGCATTTAACAAAAATAGTACTTCCTAATGGAACAATCTACACAGATCGCTCTCCTGACTTAGGAGGTGACCATCAGGGAGATATGTGGACGTATATTTGTCGATTCCTCATCTCACATGGTATTAATATGGCAAATTATGGAAGAAATTATTCTTCATCAACAAGTGCTTCTTATCCTGGTTTGCTCAATCAAATGATTATTCATACAGCCATAGGAAATTATCTCAACGGCAAAGTCATCCATGGCTTGGCTGCTATACCGAACGCTTCTACGGCTGTCTTGCATAAAACAATTGGGAATGAATTATCCCATGAAATCGGTCACATCTTTACATTAGGCCATGCACCAGGTGGATCTAAAGGATCAATTCATAGACATGCCGGTGATATTAATTCCACATGGGGATATAACAGACCTCTCCATCGCTTTATCACGAACTTCTATTGGGATCAAACAGGGGATCAGAGTATGGGAAGTACTAATCCTGATCCCGATGATGATGCGATTGTTTCTCCTTTTGAAAACTATAAGATGAAAAGAGATCCCATGTGGCATGCTAACGTCAGTGGTCATATATCCAACTACACACTCTATACTCCTTATTCTTCGCACGTGATCCAGAAAGATTTTCTTGAAAAAAACGCTACTTTTTCTCCAAAAAGTCCCACTGGTTTTAAAAAATGGAATCCAGAAACAAAAAAAATGGAACATTTTATTGTCAATATTCCAAATTATTTGAGTGATCTAACCCTCGAGAGCCAGGAAGCATTAGATCTTATCAAAGAAGATACGGAAGGTCTTTATCTGAAAGAACAATTTAATCATCATCCTTCAATTGAAATACATACAAAAAATGGTTCTTGGATAAGAGATATTTATTTACCTTCAGGCGCTGAAGTTGGACTACATAAAGAAATTCTCATAAGCCGAAATTCGGCCTATGGTGTAGCTGTCCATTATAATGGCACAAAATTTGAAATGGGAGCCAATAGTCAATTGTCTCTTCAATCAGATGGAACTCTATGGGTCAATCATCTCATTGAACACAACAGGCCAGTTTATTATGGTATCCCCGTTGTCACGATTCTTGGTTATTATGATCCAGAGCGAGAACTTGATAGTTATTTGTATCCAGCATTGTTTAGTCAATATGGGCATACGTACAGTCCAAATAAGAATATAAGTTCTAAGAGTTGTTTTCTTCGTGTATATACAAAAAATAGGGGCGTGATGGAGTATCGTTTAACAAACTCAACGCTCGATTCGGGTTATATGAACAAATTACATGTCAATGTTCCTCAAAGCACTCAGCCGTATAAAGCAGAAATTATTGATAAGGAAGTTGTTTTATCGAGTATAGATATCCATGAACCGACCAATTTTGATTTCGCTTATGCTGTCAATGGAATAAAAACAGATACGACACTTGTATTGGATACCAATAAAGACATTATGCAAATAGAAAACAGCGCTCACGGATTATCGATGTATTTCCAGGAACATTGCACCGTTCATGTGATCCTCAACGAGGGTTCTTCGGTTATGGGTTTTAATTTACCCAAATTTGTTTTAGATGGACAAAAATTTGTTGTTACCGTGTATACCCATGATGCCGATATCTCTTATAACGAAAATGATCGATGGAGAATACGGAGAAATGAAACCCAAGCATTTGTCTTTCAAGATGGCCTATGGGAAGCTATTTGAATCATTGATCATCAGGTCTGATCTGAAAAGAAGATCTAGAGTTTCTCGATGATTTGGAGGACTTCAGCAAGAGCAGCTGCAGGAATGCGGTGTCGCATAAAGGGATGTTCTTTGGAAGCAGGAGTTCCGCCGCCATAGAGGTCGATGATGATGTCCCCTTTTTGTGCGAAGAGTTCAAGGATACGGCTCATTCGCTCTTGATGAGCCTGATCCTCTGGGACTTTTTTGAGCGAGACAAAGGCTTGTCCTGCTGTGGGTATTCCGCCCCAAGAGATGGACTGCGAGAAATAGTCGCTTGCGGCTACATCGAGAGTTTCCGCTGTTTTTTCGTTGCTGATCAC